TAGGTACGTATATATTGAATCAGAAGTAGGTACCTACTATGGGCATTACTATAGCTAAACATTTGCGCAAACATCCTTTTGGTTAGCATCTATCATATGTTTAATTATTGATAAAGTAACTGTCACGATGCAGACCATGGAAGCATAGGAAAGAACTCTGTTGTGGCACGAAGGGCCCTATCTACGAGCTAGCGGCCGCGGGCAGGTCCCGGGTCCATATACGTGAGCATCCTTTGTCTAGGCTATGAAGCCCCTAATGACTCCGATAGACTCCCTGGTTCCTGGTGGCCTAAGTGGCTAGACTCCTGACAGTAACCCATATTAGTGGTGTTTATTATATGGTTATTTTAATATAAATTCTTAGCCTTTAACTTAAAAACTATCGGTTAGAGTTACCAAGTGTGGGCAATTTCTCTATTGGTTAGTTAGATCATGCTGAAGCCCACTGGCACTCGAGAATGTGCCAAGTAGGAGATTATTTATCCCATCACGTAGCCATAGGATATAGTTTACATGTATACACTAACTTCGTAGAATGATATTCATCTGCATGAATTCAGTGAAATGTTTCCGTTTTGCTGATTAAATATATGCACGATCAATAACTTAAACTTTCCTCGGCCTATTAGTATCAACATCCCCTTGAGCAGTCAGTCATGCTGTACGAATAATATCAATAGATGTCAGTGCTTCACTTTAGGGGCAACTTATTGTGTTATGGACATTATGTACCTAGGTATGTACCATATCAACTTTAGCATCCCTGGGGCAGCTCACAGATGTATCCTCTCCTTAATTAAGGAACGTGCACAATATACTTTAAAATATATAGGGAAAGTGCAAACGTTAGTCAGGACTTTCCCGACGCACCTTCCTTGGCAAGGGTTGCGCAGCTACGGTAACCTGAACTGTATTTTTTTTTGGCGTCAGAACTGTCTTTGCGCGGTAAACTATATCTTGACGCGGTACTGTCCATTCACTAAATAAACATCTACCTAAGGTAGCTAACGGCACAGCCTTCATCCTCCACTTCCTATATAACATCCTCATATGGTTACCCATTTCCGGTTCGTCTTTATTCACATCACTGCCATCTACGAGACACCACTTCGAATTATTCGAATAATATATGCAAAGCGCGACTCATACCAATTTGCCTGCCAAAATCGATTCGATTAGTCCAAGCTATCTCCTCGACCAATCTCAAAGAATACCATAGGGTCACTGCATTCGACAACATGCCGACAGTACAAAGTTCCCTCGAACGTCTCCCTGTGGAGATGCAGTGGCAGATCATGACGTCTTTGCCGGATGTGCGATCTCTTGCTTCTACTGCTCTAACCTGCCGTGCCTATTACTCGGCATTCAAGGCTAATCAAGATGCTATTGTCAAAGTCGTGCTTATCAACTGTGTTGGCAGCGACACTCTCCCCGACGCCATCCTCGTCCATCGATGTCTCCCACCGTTTCATATTAGTCAAATCACGCTCGATCACCTGTTCCCCACCACTCAAGCCACCCTGTTTCATATCTACGTATCGAGGTTCCTCCAGCAGCAGCTAGAGCCGTCAGAGCGACCAGATCCCAGCTCAATCACATGGACCATGCGGGATGCCCTTTCGCTCTCCGACTTTCATCTCGAGGTTGTCTCACCCCTCACGCAGAGATTTATCCAAAACTGCTCGAATGAATCAACACCACCTTTCCGCCTTGACGCCAGCTTGCAGTCATGCCCCGCAACTCGTTCTGAGGAGGGACGAATTGCCCGTGCGCTGTACCGATTCGAAATGTTTCGTAGACTCTTCAGTCGAGAATCTATCCTTGACGGAGACGAGAAAAGGACTTGGCTACACGACTGCGTCAGATTCTTTTCCAAATTCGCACCATGGGAGAACTCACAGCTCGGTTGTGTTTACGATTTTCTGACTCGCGAAATGGTAACAGGTACGAATATATATAGATCTTTGCCTACTGAAGCTCGTCCTAACCCATGACTAATTTGCTCCCGTTTTAGTCGACACCGATGCTTCAGAACACGATATCCAATATGGAGTTGCTGCTTACAGAAATCGTATGCGACGACGCCACAAGGTCGAACGTCTGTTGGAATTAGGCCTCAAAAAGATTCTTGAGGTCGCCAGCCGCAATGCTATTGCGGATAGAGTGAGCGTATTGCAAGTCAACGAGTGGCCCTCTGAAGAAAATCACTATTTCCTGGGCTACATACTCCAAGATATTAACGACCTATCTCCACTCGGTGGCTTCGGCAAAAGCCTAGTAGAAGGCCGCCCGTTCTACAACGATGGTGATATCGCCGCGGAAGTAATATGGCGCTGGTCCTTCCAGCGCCATCGGCGTATAAATCCAGATACCACGACCTCGATATACCAAAAACGACACATCCATTACCGCCAATGGGGTCGCGATTTGTGGGATTGCGGTAGGCTCCAACAACTCGGTGTTCTGAAGCTGCCGCGTGCCCCTGCTGCGGAGCAGGAAATTGCCAATGTAAGGAGGGGAACCACGGAAACAGATGTGTCTCACGGCGTAAGACACGACATATACAATAGGAGAGGTCGAGGATACTGGGTGAAGGACGACTAGACACGCATGATGTGGTCTGCATAACCCAAAAGCCACCACCAGATATTAATTGATGTGTGGTGCCGATGGATGTTCAGAAGGTTACTATTCTAGGTTGGGCATTCAGGACCAAGATGGCAGGTTAGCCTAGTGTACACCTAGCTCTGGTGAGCCGATTCGGTAAGGGTTAATAATGCAGACGAAATGAAAGGAGATCAGATAAGCAAAAGAACACAAAATGAAAAGCAATCTGAGGAGTTGTAACGTAAACTTTCCTTATTCTTATTTTTATTAAACTAAACCGATCTGCAAACTGGGTAATTTTTTTATATCATAACACTACAGCAGCACCAACGAAACCCATCGCCAACGCAGCAGCAGCGAGCATGCCGGTCTCTCTAGCTCCGGCGTTCTGAGTCGGCGTCGCAGACGAAAGCGCGCTGCTTATCGCACTGCTAGCAATTGTCTCCGCCGCAGAGCCGTCCGTAGCCGTCGTAGTCGAAGATTCGGCGCCAGAAGAAGTCGTCGTCGCAGCAATCCCAACTTTGTTTGTATTGCCAGGGCTAGCAGAAGTCGCAGTCGAAGCACCGGCGGTGTCTGTCGCTGTCGCACTCGCCACGACCGCCTTGCCACAGGCGCCGGCGGAGAAGCTCGAGTAGACGGTCAGGAGCTCGCCGAGCTGGCTGGTGATGACCTTGGGCGGGGCGCCCATGTCGTTGGAGCAGGTGGTGGCGAGGGCGACGAGGTTGGAGCTCTGGGCCGAGAGGTACGAGTACATGGCGAGGTTGTACGAGGTGAAGGCCGAGGCCTGGTTCTGGGGCAGGTCGGAGCCGAACTCGCACAAGCCCGACACGCCGGATTCCGCCATGCCGCCCTTCGCGTTGCTCTCCAGCGCGCTCTGCAGATCCGGCGCCGGCGTGGGGATCGCCCCGGACCACGATTGGATGCGCGACAGGCACTCCGGCGACGAGGACGAGGTCTCCTCGGGCGCGATGACGTCGTCTCCGGTGGTCTTGCGCGGGAAGAGCGCGGGCACCTGGGCGGATGCGCTGGCGGCAAGTGCCGCGAGAATAATGGCCTTGGTGTACATCATGTTGTTGTTGTTGTTGTTGACGTTGCTGTTATTGCTGCTGCTGCACAAGGAGTGTGATGGTCAGCGAGAGAATTCTGGCCGACTTTATGAGTGCAGGTTCAGTAATTGTCGCCTTGGTTTTTACGCAAACGTAATCGTAGGAGCAGCACGGCGCAACTCGTGAGATCTTGGGAGGGCTCATGGTTCATTTTATAAGATGGTTAGAGGCCCCTTAATATTACCAGCAATGGTCTGCACTATGATGTATTAGGATATAGTCTTATTCCAGGGGTGCTGCTGTGCCGGGATTGCAACGGCGTCGGCTCCAGCCTGCAGGAGCTAGACTCATGATCTTTAGGTCTTGGCTGGAAAGTTCTATTTAAATGTTGTTGAAGATTTGACAACCTCGGTATCTGTACTCATTGCACTGTAAGCCCATGATCGTCATATGCGCAGACAAGGTACTCACTCACTATTTACACTTCAATTGCCATGACTCTGCTCCGACTTGAAGTTTTCTGGAATTTTTTCCGTTCGCTTTTCATCCGGTACCTATATTTTGTTGCATTATGGAACGGAACGTACGAGACACATTTCGGGCGAGTCGACCCTGGCAAATGTACCTAGCCGTCTTACCTCCCCTGTCGGAGGGACCCACTTGCGCTGCCACAAATCCATCAACAACGAAATGAGATGTCAACATGGTTGAAATGAATCCTGATGGTAAAAATAGTTACCACCACATGCGGCTCTGGCGATCTCGTCATGTATGTTATGTGCTATTTGCAAGATCAATTCCTTCCGTGGCGTTGGGTGCGCTGCCCTTCACGGAGATCAATTGTGATATGAGGTCATCTTAGAGACGTCACCAACAAACCAGCGTGAAAAGGATTAGTTGTTTAGGACTTATGTGGTTTCTATTTCTATCGCCGCACGTCTAAGTCAGTTGAAGACGTAGCTTTTCAATTACAATTACAGGACGGGAGTCCATTGAATAGACTCCGTTCTAACTTCTCGCTTTGACAAAACCAACAAGCATGACTGGCATGTCAAACTCACCCATCGCTCTTTAAAACATGGCTAGGACTGTGTGAGAGTCAAGAAATCACACGGTCGTAAAGAACCCCAGATTATCTAAGCTTTTTTCTTACATAATTAGCACAGGTTTTTTTTTTCGCTTGGCAGAAAAGTGTAAAAATAATTTTTAATCAAGCTGTGAACCGGCTTAAGTTAACTCACACAAGTCACATCCCAACAAACCCAATACAAACAGCATTTGGACACCTCCAGTATACCGTTCCGAGAACTTATAGAATGTCTAGACAAAAATAAATTGAAAAAATACGGGCTCGGCCGGGAATCGAACCCGGGACCACTCGCATGCAGTGCGTTAAGGTGTGACCCTAAGCGAGTATTATACCACTAAACCACCGAGCCGATTGCTTGTTGGTGGGTGACGAGAGATTATCATCTATCCTTTCTGCCGGCACGGTGATGGATACCTTGGTTGCTAGGCCCAGCTTCTGTAGGCCGGTGAGTCACAAAGTGGGTAGGAAGACACTACAATGAGTTGAGTTTTTATGTAATTGCAAACAATTCGTATTGGTCGTGCTGAACTAGGGTGGGAATAGCATCAACTCCACACTCTACGTGTAACCCTACCATATATCTGTCCTGAAGAATTCTGTTCTCGCACCAAGGCATTGAAGAATCCAAAAAAATCAGATGAAGCCAAGTCAGCTACGAAGATTGTCCAGTATGACAGTGTTCCTAGAAACGTACAATATAAGCGTTATAATTCATGACATAGGTTTTTACTATTATGCATCGACCAAATAGAGTGCGAAGATTGATGATACATGAGTATGTCAGTTAGTGTAACACCCTTCTTTCACTCCGCCTACTTGTAGCTCTAAATGCCAGCATGAGTGCGGGTGAGGTATATAACCAAAAGTATTTCTTTCATAAATCGTAAGAAGTAGACAGCTGATAGGCAATGGGTTACGCTGCCTTTAAATTAGCTTCTTCTTACACTCCTTATCATTTTCATGGCCTTTTGCGAAGCTTAAGTTATCTTTATCCAACTACCTCCAGTTCACATCGTCCATGGTCTATGACCGTTTTCCAAGAAGTCATCTTCATAGATTCGTTCATCTAAACAAGCACTTGGTAGCATAAGTAGGTGCATTTATATCCTATGAAGAAAACAAGTCATGTCTATTGATGTGGTCTATCATATATGGGTAACCAAGCCCCCTAACAGTGGCATGGGACGATTCTGTAGAACGTCGTGAGGAGGTGACTCTTGGATATGAACCTGTCTAGTCCCAGCTTCGAGGTCCGACTCGGATAATTTAGTCGATCTGACATCTTATCTACCTCTACTATCTTGGATATCCTGCGAATTAGGCTTAGTAGCCCGAATGCATTAACTCCAAGGAGTCTATTCAAGAACTCGCCTATATCTGAGAAAGCGAACTTATAAAATGAGCACGAGGTTTAGAGCTAGGTATGAAGACGCTACATCTCATCGACGGATGAGAAGTTAGTCAATGCTTAGGACGGTTGACTCCAAACAACTCTAAGGTATTATCAGGGGCAGCTGGTGTAGGTGGAGATATCAGGGCTAGGGCTACTCCCAGGGGGGTAGCTGGCAGCTCACAGGTGTATAAAAGGGCCTTCATCCTCCCATCTTCTAGCGAGAGACACATGGCATGATGGAGGAGCTCTAGGATTATACTGTTTCTAGCCCATAGCAGCCAGGCCGCCGAATCGTATCATCCATCACTCCGATCACTCCCCCGTGCCTGATAGGTATCGTAGAGGTTCGGCGAGTACACATGTTGCCGATACAAATATTCACCAGCAATATGATCGAATATATATATAAGAGATTTAGTTTTATTTATTAATCTATCACCGTAAAGAGTGCTAAGAATAGACGAGTTGTTAATAATAGCAACCCATTCGAGCCCTGTATTAACATACATCCTTAAGTGTCCAGTAACTCTACCGCCAAAGGTCCTCCCCAACTAGAACTCAAGCATTATCGGGCCCCCAAGAATAAAGAAGAAGAAAGACATTAAGAGAGAGAGAGAGAGCTACAGACGTCAAGACATTGTCACATCCTTCCACAGTACGACTGTAAACATTGGGTGAAGTCTACCGCCACTTGGGGAGATATCGCCATTCCAACCCGCAAACATAGTGAATAGATGCAAAGAAATAACGATCCTTGAGCTTCGGAAGCTCTCGTACAGATGCCCTCTGGCTAGCAGGTCCATGCGATGCCGAGAATTTGTTTGGCGTAGTTGAGACGCCGGCGACAGCTACATCTCGCTAAATCGCTATGTTGAGAGAGTTGGCAAGCAAGGCCGAAGTAGCGAATGTCGTGGTGTAGCGTGGAAGCAACCGTGAGAAGTCCTGGATGTATGCGGAAGTACCTGATCGATGATAATGAATGTGCGTTCGGAACTTCGAAGGCTGATGAGGTGTAAAATCTTGTTGAGTGCGAGCCCTATATCGTGTCTGCTCACATACAACGTTGAAATTAGAGGCATTTTAAAGTGTCAGGAAGGTCGTAACAGCATGGTGTCGCATCCATTGATGCCCAGTCATAGTGTGCAACTTTGACCACCCGTCGAAAAACAGGGCAATTCGCATTTGTCCATTGCTCCGAAAGTCCAGGTCTTTTTTCACCTTTTATTTCCATTGGTTTGACGTCTCGACCTCCACCACCTAAAGGATACCAGTTGTACTTGCTGACAATCCATTCCTGTTTTAAGTGGTTTAAGTGGCCACGCCAGTTATCGATGCACAAGTCCGGAAAGACGGCCCTATCAGTTCTGGCATAAATTATATAATCCGCAATCCCCCTAGCTTCGGCTAGAAACTCCTCTAAGCCTTCGGTCGCGCAGTCAGGGGGGTTGTCCCTTTTCATCTTGCTTATTAAAGTTTTCTGGGCAGCTTCATCATTAATATCCATGAGAATGGGATTGCTGTTGTATTTAAATCTGGGCATCTGGGCATTAAGGTGGGCCAAACATAGTTTCGGATGAAAAGAGTCCCTAATCAAATCAACGGTCCTCAGCTGCGGGAAGAGTTTTGGATTGGAGAGATAAGACAGATTTGTCCAGGAAATCTTTCTCAAACTCCAGTCGATGGCGATGTGCTGAGTACGTTCGTTAAGACCTGAGCAAAGCACATTGTCCGCGAGGGGTCTCACGAAGTCGCCGCGGTGGGCTATGTGAAAAGTATCTCTATTCGGGTCATACCAGCTCCATGCAGTCTCTGGGTAATCTCGTGTGGCCTTGATTGCAGGTGCAGGATTAGAAATCGCGTTCTTGATCTTAATTGCAACGGGTTTCCCGCTACGACAGGCGAATTCTCGAGACTCTCGACAGACCTGGGCTATCGAAGGGGGAGACAATACCGGGTCAAAGTAATACCCGGGAAAGCCATCGTCGAAGTCGTGGAGAAGATAGCGTTGAAGACCAAAGACTCTTCTAGGAGTAGCTAAGTCCCAGATCATGGCTCGGATCTCGGGGGGAAGTCTTCTGAATTGAGGGAACTGAAGGAGTTGATGACAATTATCGACAGTCCCGCCTAGCGCCGTTTGGATCTTGGTGTTGGATTTCCCGAAGGCGTCGGCTGACCCCTTTTCGACAACCTCTGGTAGGGATCCCCGGAGACAGTCAAATTCGCTGAGGGAATCGAGTTGCAGGTCGTCCATGGCACGGATTGCACGGTAGATTAGATCATCAGTGCCGATTGATATGATTTCGCTTTGGTTATCCATTCTGGACGATGGATGTCGAGATGAAGATACTGAAGGTGTTGTAGATACTAGCGGATTGAAGACATGGAGAAATACTAGAAACGAAGAGGAAAACATCAACCTGAAAGTGGGCGTAAGTTGATGTACATATGTAGGTAAAAACTTACATAGGCAAACGCGGGCAACGAGTGGTGGCGTTTGCCAAGTAGCGGCTGCTTGCATTTGCAATCTCTGGCCTTCGATCCGCGAGGGCTTCAGCGGTCACCAAGACAACATGACAACATGACAACATGACAACATGACTACGGTCTTTTCATTAGCAGGGAAACGGTAAGTCGTAACATCTCAATTCGTTGTTAAAGGTGATATAGGTAGAAAGCACTTCATAGATGTGAACGTGAATGATTTATTTGTCTAGGTAATCTGCGAATGTAACGACCGGCGGTAAGAGGCAACGATCCTGGAGACTTAGAAAGCTCTCACATGCTTCCATAAACGGCGTAGAAATTTTGCTCTAGAGCACTAGAGGAGGGGGACTCGACTATGGCAAGACTTCTGGAAAACCAGAAGCATTGCTCGAGCTCCCCTACAACTAATTTTGCTCATGTACAATTTGTTGATGAAAGAAGAGAAAAATTCAACCGTCTACGCAAAATTGAAAATTCAAATGATACCGGAGCTGGGGCTTGGCGCATGGTCAAAGCACGTGCAGGAGATGGTCCGAGCTTCTAGACTAAAATACCAACGCAGCTACGTAACCTGCGTAACTGTCAAGGTTTGTGAATGCCTTAGACTTCAGGCATCCATTTTTCTAGCTACGACCAATCAGAGCAACCTTGAAATAATCGCGATTAAAGCGCACTAGCGCCACTCCAAGAAGTATCCAATAATCCAATAATTCCCGACAAGCACATCTACATCTTGGAGACGTCAACATTTCGAAACAAAAAGGTCCCTCCAATTGACCACCACCTACCTCCGAACTCCTCCGTCGAGACGACACGATGCTTCGACAATCTCTAGCTCGTTCGGCTTGGCGGACTGGCAGACATGCCGCCAAATCCTCGAGAGCTTTTTCTGCGACGACCCAGCGGCCGGCGGAGGTCGAGCTTACCATTGGTAAGTCTTTTGTCTAGGTCTTACAATTAGAGACTATGACGGTAACTAACATTTTTCGTAGATGGAAAGAAGGTATCTATCGAAGGTACGGAGTTATGGCCTATCATTCCGAGGTGGTTGAGCCTCTTGACTAATTAAGCCCGCAGCTGGCTCAGCATTGATCCAGGCCTGTGAGAAAGCCGGATCTATGGTTCCTAGGTCAGTCCTCTAATTTCAACAACCACTAAAGGAAGCCCATTGCTAACGTTATGCAGATATTGTTATCACGAGTACGATTGCTGCCATACCGACCACCCCCACATCCGCCTCCGATGCTGACAAGATGGAACAGGAAGTTGATGATCGCCGGAAACTGTCGTATGTGCCTAGTCGAAGTCGAACGTGCCCCGAAACCCGTAGCCTCCTGCGCCTGGCCGGTACAGCCCGGCATGGTGGTCAAGACGAATTCGCCCCTCACACACAAAGCCCGCGAGGGTGTGATGGAATTCCTCCTAGCGAACCACCCGCTAGACTGCCCTATCTGCGATCAGGGTGGTGAATG